CTCCATTCTCCTCTTAGGATCTTGGGCACGCACGCACAGGCACCCAGTGTAAGGTTTAAGCCACTGAGTCTGAGACTCAAACTGCAGTCGACTATGTGGGAGTCCAGCGATGTAACCATTATGCCATCTGCTGGTCCCCCAAACCCAAAACTTTTTGAGCACTGACATGATCCCACAAGTAAAAATTCCATACCTAACCTCATGTGACAGGTCTTATGTTTTAAAATATTAAATAAAATTACCTTTAGACTATGTGTATAAGGTATAAATGAAACAAATGAATTTTGTATTTAGACTTGGGTCCCATTTTCAAGATATCTCACTATGTATATGCACATATTAAAAAAAATACAATATCCAAAACTTGTCTGGTCCCAAGCATTTCAAATGATTGATACACAAATCGTATTAATTACCAACGATGGAAAAAGTAGATTATTTTTTCCCCTGCTTACAGGCATCATTCTTATCTCACAACTCCTCAGCGTCATAATTTTGATTTGACTAGAATTCTGTATTTACAAATTTGTTAATATACTCACTATACTTATAGCTAAACCATGTAGTAAATGATCTATATTTTTCCTACTCTGCTTTCCTGCAGTTAGCAATTGTTTTATTTTGTTATTTGGGTAGTTTTCTGTGTGTTTATGACAAATTTAGCTTGGAGCATATAGATTTTCTCTCAGGGTATTTAAATGTACTGAGATTCTCAATTCCATCTTCTGTCCATCTAAACCTTCTAACTTAGTTCAGTCTGGTCTTATTTTTTGCCAGTCCTGATACTGCTGTCATTCAGAATTCCCTTCACCCTCACCTGAGGCTTCCTTGGCCTCTCTCCAGCGTTGGATCTCCTTTTCCTGTCCCTGTAAGTTATGTGTTATTCTATCTCTTCGGGATCCATCTCTAAGAGCTTCCTGAGAAAGGGTAAATTTTTGAGACCTTACAAGTCCAGGAATATCTTTTTTAAATCTCACCTATTTAATGTTTGCTGAGTATAGAATCTAAGTTGAAAGTCTTTTTTGTATTCAGTATTTCCTTTTATCTTTAATATCATAGTTGAGAAATGTGAAGCTCTTCTGATTCCTAAACTATTTTTGAAGCCTAGTTTTTTACTCCTTTTCCTTTTCATTCACCTTGTTCTGAAATATCACAATGATGTGCCTTGATGGAAGTTTATAGTGCTAGGTCCTGTTAAAGAGAAAATTATTCCAACACTTGCTAATGATGATAAGACAGACTTTAGTCAAAGGGGGCCATGGCAGTAGATATAGGGATCTTTGCAGTGGCGTGTTACAATGAGAGAGATTAGGCTTAGAACAACTTTAACAAGAGTAAGTGGGGATTTATATCCAAAGAGCAGAGTGAGGATCAGTGGATGGAAAATTACTAAAAGCAAACCTTAGGGAGCCAGCCAGGTGACATGATAGTTAAGGTGGCTGGATTCCACATGGTCAACTGTGGAATTCTAGTCCCAGACCAGTGGATTCAGAAACACTCCAGGTAAATGTGCATGCCTGCCCATAATCCCAAGAGGAGAATGAAGGAGAAAGGATTGTGGTGTGGTCATCCCCCCTAAGGGGTGCTTGCTCACTTTATCTCTCTGGTAAGCTCATGTACCCTGTAGCAGATAGATGATTGATTGATTGATTGATTGATAGAGTAAGGAAGCTCCCATCTAAATCAGCTTCTAGAATTATTGCTGAAGGCAGGCCAGGGTGATAAGATAGTGAGGGGAGTCAGGTACCAAGGGTGGAAGAGTTTTCCTAAACCAACCTAACAAGATTCTTGCTCAAACTAGATTCTCCAAGGATAGAGAGGAAAGCTCAGGGTCAGGTCTAGTAAAATAGGGGAGAAAAGTTTTTCTCAACCCTCTCAACTCCAGCTGCATCTGAAAATAAAACTGATAAAAACAGATACAGGAAATACAGTATGCAAATTAGGGCCAACCCCATAGCTTAGTGGTTAAGAGAGCCCAATCCCACATAGCGAAGCAGGGTTTGAAGCCCAACCTTAGCGGTTTGAAAATCACAACAGGCATATGTGCACGCATGCCCCCAAATCCCCACACAGTAGGAAAATGGAGGAGAAGTGACTGCAGCATGACCACACCCCACTGGAGAGTGCTTTCTTCCTCTTTGTCTCTTTCTGGTGTGTGCACATGCTCTCTGGTAACTATAAATGAATGAATGAATGAATGAATGAATGAATACAAATTTATTTCATAAGTTTTACTTGGCATGGGAGCCTTCAGAAATGGAACACCTGTGGGTCCAGACAGTACCCTGTAGATTCCAGGTTCATGTCTAAAGACCCCCCTGAATACACTGGGCACACATGTACCTGTATTCTGAGCGACTTAGAAACTGGGACTAGATTGTGACATGAACACTCTGTTGGGGGTGCCTGCCTGTCTCTGTCTCCTCCCCATCCATGAAAAAAAGAAAAACTTGTTTAAAAGTTAAGAAATGAACACCTAAGAAACAGGGAAACCTGTGTTTTGGGGGTTTTGGAGGGCTTGTTTTGTTTTTGCTAAGTTTGATAAAGTAGTAGATAATCATGGAGAAATGTGATCACTCAAAAATGGTACGCTCCAATGGTAACAAACCAAGAGGAATTTAGCAAGGCATGTTCAGATTCTTCTCAGTATCCCCGTGTCTTTAGAGATAGGGATGTTTCCATCATCTGAATATAAAGAAGGCATCTCTCTGGGACCAGCAGGTGGTGTGGTGGTTAAAGGCGCTAGACACTCCCGCATGGCTGACCACAGTTCAAGTCCCAGATCTGGTGACTTGCTTTCTCACTTTTCCTCTCTCTCTCACTGTGTATCTCTCTGATCAAATTAAAATAAATTAATTAATTTAATTAAATTAATAAAAAATATACATATAAAAATAAAGAAGGCATCCCTCAAGGGAGGATCTTACAACCTATTTCAGAGGAAGAGCAGAGAATTCTTTCTAGGTTTTATGACCTGGTTTAGGGGAAATGGATGAGAGAAGGTCAGAAAGACATCCCTGCTTTTACAGTTCTCTGAATTCCTTCAGCTTAAAATATGCAGTATGCCACGGGGCCTTATTTTGCAGTAGCAAGTGCCGAACCCCATGATCAGAAAAGACTTGGGAGCCTGACTCAAGTTTTGTCAAAGAACAGAGTCTTGGTCAATTGTTCATAGACCTTTTCAGTCAGGAAACGTGTCATTCAGTTCTAGAAATGTTTCTTAAAGCTGCTTCTTGATTATATTCCCCTGTTTTGTTCTGTTTCATTTATTAGAACTCCTGTTATTTTAATAAAACTCTTTTGGTTATCCTCTAAATTTTTATCTTCTATTTTCCATCTTTCTGTATATTTGCTATACTATCTCAAAGATTTTTATCAACTTTATCTCCTGATTTATTAAGTTTTTAATTTCTGATCTTACATTTTTAATTTTTAAATGTTCTTTTTTTTCTCTGGGGCTGGCAGGTGGCATGTGGTAAGAGTCCTGGACTCCTACATGGTCGACCACAGTTCAAGTCCCAGACCTGGTGGCTTGCTTTCTCACTTTCTCTTCCCCCCCTCAACCTTGTCCCTCTCTGATCAAATTTAAATAAAGGTAAATAAAATGATTTTTAAAAAGTTATTTTTCTTTCCAAATGCTTCTTTTATTTCATCCTATTCTTTTTTTAAGAATTATTTTTATTTAATAATATTTTATTTACTTATTTTAATTTGACCAGAAAGGGAGAGAATGAGAGCAAGAGAGAGAGAGGGTAAGTGAGAAAGAAAGCAGCTAGATCTGGGACTCGAACCGTGGCCTGCCATGTGGGAGTCCAGCGCCCTTAACCACCATGCCACCTGTCAGCCCCACCATCTTCTTCTTGTTTCACAGCTGCAGATTCTTCTCTTATCACACTAAGGATATGACAGTCTGCAGGTTTTGTTTTGTCTTAGGAATTTTCTTTCTTATTGGTTGCCTCCAAGTTCATTTGCTTATTTTAATTTACTGTCTTCAGTGTGAGAGGTTTTCCTCAGTCCTAGTAATCCTAACTATCTTTGATATCTGCTGCTGGTGGAAGCTACAGAGTTTTGGGAGCTCGGAGAATGTGAAGGGGACTTTTGTAGGCTGTAAGCCTCACTGTAGGGTAATCTAGATGAGCTGGTTAGTTGGGATACTTGCAACATCTGTGTCTTAATAACTTTAAAAAGTCTCCTAATCTTCAAGTAGGGTAAAGGCCTCGTTACCAACATTATGAGAGCTCAGTATAGAAAGACGACTTGGGAATCTGCATATATTCATGTGATCTTTCTTTTTCAGTATATTTTCACTGCCTCCATCTGTGCCTGTGGCTTACCCTCTTTGAAAATTAAATTGCCAGTCTTTTCCCTTAAACAGACTTATAGTTCATCCTTATTTTAGCCACCTCTTACATCACTCTCCTCTTCTAGGTTCCTGCTGCCCAAGTCCTTAGGCTTTGGAGAATGCTGCAGTGTAAATTTAGTTCATTCTTGGGACCAGCGGCGGGTGGCGTGGTGGTTAGGGTGCTGGACACTCACACACGGCTGACCACAGTTCAAGTCCTAGACCTGGTGGCTCACTTTTCTCACTTTCTCTCTTTCTCTCTCTGTGTCTCTCTCTGTTCAAACTAAAAATAAATGAATGGGAACCAGCAGTTAGCGTAATGGCTATGTCACTGGACTCCCATGTAGTCGACCGCGGTTCACATCCTGGACCCGGTGGCTTAAACTCACGCCAGGTGCATGTGTGTGCGTGCCCAATATCCCAAGAGGAGAATGGAGGAGAAGGGATTGCAGCATGGCCATCCCCCCTGAGGGGTGATTTCTCGCTTTCTGTCTCTCTGTCTCCCTCTTTCTGGCAAGTGCACGCGCCCTATAGGGAAAACCTCTCCAAAAAAATTAATTAATTAATTAATTAAATATTTTTTAAAAAATTTAGTTCACTCTCAAAAATTCTTCTCGGTCTAAGAGTTTACAATTGTTACTATTTCTTTTTCAACCAGGGTTATATACACCCCAGGACACACTGACGATCATATGGCCCTACTGTTAGAAGAGGAAAATGCTCTCTTTTCTGGAGATTGCATTCTTGGGGAAGGAACAACTGTATTTGAAGACCTCTATGATTATATGAAGTCCCTAAAAGAGCTCCTGAAAATCAAAGCAAATATTATATACCCAGGTAGGTAATTTTTTAAACCTAGCAAATCACTTCTATCAAATGATGAGAAAGGTTCACTTGGGTTTATCCCTCAATGTGTATTCTTTGTGTCTATTGACCTTAAAGAGATACTTATAAAGTGCTTCTTTAAATTACACCCAAGTCTTATCTAGCCATACAAGAGTTGATTAAATAACTTTAATAAAGATATGAGTGTTGGGACTGGCAGGTGGCATGGTGGTTAAGAGCGCTGGACTACCACGTGGCTGACTGTGGTTTGAGTTCCAGATCTGACGGCTTACTTTCTCATTCCCTCCTTCCCTCTCTCCCTCCCTCCCTCCCTCTCTCTCTCTCTCTCTCTCTCCCCCTCTCTCTCTCTCGCCAGCCCCCATGGTTATATTAAAAAATAAAGTTAAATAAAATAATTATTTTTTAAAAAAATATTTGAGGGTTATTTTTCAATATCTACACAGCTGTTCATAGAATTGTTAAAAAGAAATACATTTACATTAGAACAGGGAGATTCTTTTTCCACAAGCTACTTTCATTTTTGCTAACCTCATTTCCTTTGGGGACTACATCTAAGCTGCATGACCTTGTGTAACATTTGACTGCTGTGCTTTAGTTTAATTCACAATACTGAAATATTAATAGCTTCCATATCAAGTATAAATGAGATATTTGCTTCCATTCTTCAGAAAAAGAAACCTGTTGTTAGGAGCTCCAGTATCACTGCACCACTCTCCACATGGATCTTCCCACCATCTTAAAGGCTAAGAAAGACACAGGACCCAGCACAAAGGCCAGCAGTGAAAAGGACTCATTTACTTATTTTTCTACATCCTTAACTCCCAGCCAGACAACAGTGGACAGAGCTGTCAGTTCATGGTCTTGAGTGCACTTACATTCTCTCGAGTTTCTACTGCTGAGGAAATAGGAAACACAGTGGAGCTGGGCATTTGGATGAATGTTACGACACAGAAGGAATGGAAGCTGTTAGTTGTTTTCAAAGAGAAGGTGGTTGATGTCCAGTGTGCTCACGCTCGAGTCAGGCTACTGCGAGGCTGCCTAGCAAAGGTTCTCAGGGTGTTTGCTTTAGTGAATCCAGTGAACTGGCTTTTTAGCAAAGCAGTCGTTTATATGTAAATTATACTCCGTAGCCATAGCTACCATATATTTAAAGCATAACTGGCAGGTACCGTGTAGGGGCCTGTACAGCTGTCATCCTTTATGAAAAGCCTGTGAAGTAGGTAGTGTCCTCATCAGAGAGCTGAAGAAACAGGCCCAGAGAGATCCACTTGTGCTCATCAGAGAGACAGAGACAGAAAGCAAGATATCACCCCCCAGAGGTATGGCCATGCCTCAATCCCTTCTCCTCCATTCTCCTCTCAGCATTTTAGGCACACACACACACACACACACACACACACACACACACGCACCTGGCATGAGTCTGGGACTCAAACCACAGTCGGCTGCATGGGAGTCCAGCGATATAACCATTATGCCATCTGCCGGTCCCAGCGTTACCAATTATTGTTGTTTTTGTGCCATATATATATATATATATATATTTTTGGAGAGGTTTTTGCTATAGGGTGCATGCACTCGCCAGAAAGACAGAGAGAGATAGAGAGATAGAAAGCAAGAAATCCCCCTCCCCCCGCAGAGGGGATGGCCACGCCACAATCCCTTCTCCTCCATTTTCCTCTCGGGATCTTGGGCACGCACACACACGCAACCGGCATGAGTTTAAGCCACCGGGTCCGGGATGCGAACCACAGTCGGCTACATGCGAGTCCAGTGACATAGCCATTACGTTAACTGCTGGTCCCAACCATATTTTATTATTAAAATGTACTTTATATTTTTAATTATGCCATAACATTTTATATAGACTGTATTTAATTCTCTAATTTTTTACATTATATGTAATTTTTAAATCTCTTATACCTGTATAGCTTTTCAAATAATTTGTATATTTAGTATGCTTTTCACTGAATTAACTTGGGTTGTACTTAATATTTTTTATCTGGTTGAAATAATTATTGTAATTATTTTAATTCAGGACACGGCCCAGTAATCCACAATGCTGAAGCTAAAATTCTGCAGTACATTTCTCACAGAAATATCCGAGAACAGCAGATTCTCACAGTATTTCAGGAGAACACTGAAAAATCGTTTACAGCCATGGAACTTGTCAGAGTTATTTACAAGGTAATTTTCATTTACCTTAGCCATAAATTTTTTAGACTGATCTATTTAATAGACTACAGATATGTTGAACTTACCATCTTCCAGATCAGAACAAGTCTCTTCATTTTTCTTTTTTTTTCCAGAAAGAACTTATGCTCACCAGAGAGAGAGAAAGCACCTCCCCAATGGGGTGTGGTCATGCCACAATCCTCTTTCCTATGTTTCTCCATCCTGTCAGGGGCACATATATGCATGCGTTCCCAGCATGGCTGGGATTCAAACTGCAGTCAGCCATGTGGGATCTGGCTCCCTGTATGCTGCACTTAACTCCCCCTGTGCTATGTGGTTGGTCTACGTCTGTTGATTTTATAAGTAACACCACTTGTCTAAATTTAAGGCTAGCAGTTTCAGCTTTCTAGATCACTTGACATTAAAACTGGCCTTAGTGGGAGCCAGCAGTTAGCATAGTGGTTACATTGCTAAACTTCCACATGGCCAACTGAGGTTCAAGTCTTGGACCTGGTGGCTTGAAACTCAATACTGGTCACGTGTGCATGCGTGCCCAAAATCCTAAGAGGAGAACAGAGGAGAAGGCATTTTGTCGTGGCCCTCCCCCCGGGAAGTAATTTCTCACTTTGTTTCTTATTGTCTCTGGCAAGCACTTGTGCCCTATGGCCAAAACCTTAAAAAATAAAAAGATACATGAGATTGTAAGATGAATTTGGAGAGGCAACCAGGGCCAGTTACAGTTAGTAGAGGACTTCATGTTCCACAGGCCTCAGTTATCGAGAGCTGGTTAATTCATACTCAGTGCGCTTTTTTAAAACAGGAAGAATGAATCGTGAAAACATCTAAAGATAAAAATGTAATATAAATATTTCAGACATGAAACAGTTTGTTTTCTCTTAATAGTAGATTATAGCGACTCTATACATTGGTATGTTGATGTTTTTTCCCCTAACCTATGTACAAATAGCAGAACTCTATGAAATCTTCACAGATCAGTCATAAAGTAACTTCCCAACCTTTAAAAAAATGCTGATTCTGGGGCCAGCAGGTGGCATGGCAGTTAAGGCGTTGGACTCCTACATGCATGACTGCTGTCCAAGTGCCAGACCGACACCAGGCAACTTGCTTTCTCAACTCTGTCTTTCTGTCTCTGGTGAGCACATGTGCTCTATAGCAAATTAAATAGTAATAATAAAAATAATAGTAAGTAAAATTCTTTTGAAAAAATACTCATTCTGCATTCAGAGCTGTAGTCAGTGTATATTCAGAATCGTGTTCACTGTGTGTATATGTGAAGCTCCTATTTCATATAGAATGGCACTAACTTTTTTTAAAAGAATGTTTATGTTTTTATTGTTATTTTTTTTTAATTCACCAGAGAGGGACATACAGAGAGAGAGAGAGGTAAAGTGAGAAAGCAATCCACCAGGTCTGAGACTCAAACCACAGTTGGCCATATGGGAGTCCAGCACCCTAACCACTACACCATCTGCTGGCCCCTGGCCTTAACTATTATAGAGTGCTTTATTCATTCAACAAACATTTGTCAAATGCCTTTTATGTGCCACACACTGGACTAGGTACAGAGATTCAAAGATGACTACAGATCACTGCCCTCAAGGGATTCATGGTTTAGTGAAGACAAACATGTTTAACAGATACTTGTCATACTAGGAATCTTCAAAAAGTTCATAGGAACGTGTATTATGAAAAAACTATGGATTTCAAAAAAGTTCTGCACCAATGTAAACCCATACTTTAATTCCATGTTTCCTCAAACTTTTTGAAGTTCCCTCTAAATACTACTAAGTGTTTTCTGTACCTCAAATTTTGGGGAGATTTTTTGTTTGTTTATTTTTTAATTATTTTTACTATAGGGTATGTTACCAGGGAGGGAAACAAACAGAGAAAGTGAGGAATTACCCACACCGCAGTCTCTCCCTCTGCATTCTCCTCTCAGGATTTTGGACACCCACATGTCTGGTGTGTTCTTCAAGCCACCATGTTAGAGACTCGAACTGCAGAGTCCCATATAGTGTCCAGTGCCTTAACCACTACACCACCCTGTTGGCCCAGTACTTCAAATTTTTACCATGTAAAGTTGCTGTTCTAATTTAATAGATAGAAAAACCAAGACTCAAAAAGTTTGAGTTAAGTAACTTTCCTAAGGGCACACAACAGATGTCATATTCTTAAATCTCGTGATTTTTCTGAACCAGGCTTCCCCTAAGACATGTATGCAACATGTCAGGCACAAAAGAAAGAGAAATCAGCCTGACCTACTGAAGATGTAGGGTTATGAGGCTTATCTGAGAAACCTTCACAAACTTACTCACTGAATTGGACCTTGAAGGATGAAACATTTTCTAAGCCAGAGGAGAAGAGAAAAGTTATTCTAGAGGAAGGAAAAGATGCATTCAAATATTAGGAGTAATTTAAAAAATGGTGTATTTGAAAACCCACAGAAATACCATGTATGACTAGAGCACAAATTGTATACATGGATGGACAGAAGGGGAGTCCCAGCAAATGAGGCAAGAAAGGAGGTTTGATCAGATCATAGAAAGCCTTGAGAGCCAGCTTTAAAAATTGAGCTTTGCAAGGCCAGCAGGTAGCATGGTGACTAAGGTGCTGGACTCCCAGATGGCCAACCACGGTTCGAGTCTCAGACTCGGTGGCTGGAAACTCATGTGAGGAGCATGTGCATGCATGCATGTATGTGTAACCAAAATCCCAAGAGGAGAAGAGACCCTGGGGAGTGGTTTCTCACTTTCCCCCTCTATCTCTGTCTTTCTCTGTCTCCGGTGAGCACACATACCCTATAGCAAAAAAACTACAAAAATAAAATGTTTTGCTTTCATCTTTGTTTTTCTTTTAGAATACTCCTGAGCATTTACATAAAGTGGCAGAAAATAATCTCTTGCTTCATTTGAGAAAACTAGAAAAAGAAGGGAAAATATGTAAGTATACTTACACATTGTAATTATCTCATTACCAGCATTTGAAATATTTTTACAGATAGACTAGTTTCCTTTTAGGAAAAAATAATATACCCAACAGAGTTCTCGCTTGAGTATCATTTTAAGTTGGAGAGACAGGCAACTGGGAAAGTTAGTAGCACATGGCCAGTTGACCACACGTTGGAGCCAGAAACTCCCACAGGAGTCAGAATTTTACTTACAGTCCTGATCCTCACTCACCAAAATGACAATCACAGGTATTTAGTAGGAAGGAAGCAACTCTCTCCCAACCCCCAAGACTTTGAAGAATTTTATTTAAGATTTAGAAACAGCCACAGATTGGTTGGGTTTTGTTTTGTTTTGTTTTGTTTTGTTTTGTTTTGTTTTGTTTTGTTTTGTTTTTATTTTGCCAAAGGGCACATGCACACACCAAGGAAAGACAGAGAAAAAGAAAGAAAGCACCCCCCTGGTGAGAAATGGCCATGCCCCAATCACTTCTCCATTTCTCCCTCTTTTTGGGATTTTGGGTACTCACATACGTACCCAGCATATTTTGCAAGCTGTCAGGTCTGGGATTCCACGCATATAGTCAGCCACATGGGATCCAACCACCATACCACCATGGCATGGGCTGGCCCCTGCCAAAAGCTTTTTAGTAGTAAAGGTAATAAACTCAAAATGTTAAAACAGTTCATTTTTAAGTTATTAACTAGGGTTAGATTCATTTGTCAAATTAATTGTATAGATCAATCTTTATATAAGTTCAGAACTTAAATTTTGTGTAGAAACCTCAACAATGTCATATATATATTATATGCACACACACACATATATATACATATATATATAAATATACCAACTTTACATTGAGCAACAATATTATTTTAAGAATCAGTGCATTTCATGCTACAAGATAACTGAAAATCCAGTGCATTTACTTAAGTTGTTAACTTTTTACTCTAATTTTCTTTCCACAGATAGCAACACAGATCCTAACAAGAAATGGAGAGCTCATCTTTAGTTTCAGATTAATAAAAGTTCTGTTCTGTTTTGCTGTTAGAAGGTGGTATGTTTCCAAGTGGATTATTTATAGAGAATTATAGAATGTAGAACATTAAAAATAACCATAGATAATACTTCATTGTCCTATTTATTCTACAAATATGCTAACTAAATTATACTTTTATAATACAGGTTATTTATCAAATCTTGGTTTTATAACATTTTACCAAAAAATTCAGAATCTAACCATTTTTATCAGTTGTCAATGGCTTAAATAAAATGGTTACTTTAAAAATAACAGAAATATATGAGACTGGCCCCATAGACTAGTGGTTAAGGGAGACTGATCCCACACAGCCAACCAGTTTGAGTTCCAGCCCTAGCAGCTTAAAAAAATCACTGGGGGCAGTGGGGGCCAGCAGTTGGCATGGTGGTTAAGGGCACTGGACTCCCACATGGCTGACTACAGTTCAAGTCTTGGGCCTGGAGGTTTGCTGGATTGCTTTCTCACTTTCTCTCTCACTCTGTCCTTCTCTAGTCAAATTATTTAAATAAATAACGTTAAATAAAATCATTCTTTAAAAAAAACGACCAGGAGCTTCTGCATGGTCCTGAGAGCTTCCCAAGGTCCTAAGAGGATGGAGAAGTAGAGGAGGAAAAAAGAGTGTGGCATGAACACACACCATTGTGTATGCCTTCTCTCGGTTTTCTCTCTGTCCCTCTGGCAAGCACATGCACCCTCTGATAGGTATCCCACAAGTGATTCATGCAGATCCATTTTTAGTCATTGAAAAATGTTAAATTCCCAATTAAGAGTATTTATATGATGCATAATTATTTCTACAATTCATTAATGCAACAACATATTTCCCAAGTTTAGATTTACTTTATAAAGCTTATGTATTATATACCAAAAGTTGGTTCTTAAATTAGAAGATTGTAAGACAGGACATTCTCTATTTAAGTGGTTTTCTTAATAGTAGTTAGGTTTACACGGTTGCCACCAGTGCTTACTTAATACACAAAGCTGCCAAACGACAATACTAATATAAGTGCAGAATCCCAAGAGTATGCTCTTTGCTTTTCCCTGACAATAAGAATTACATTTTTTTAAATGTTTGTTAAAATCCTCACCTCCTGATGCTTTTCCCAAGGTTCCTAATATTTTGATCCTATTCTAGGGCCCTTATTCTCATGACTTGGAAACCTAGTGTATTCCCAAAACTGCTGTTTATTACAAAATAAACTGTAAACTGGACAAGAAAAACAACTCAATTAAAAAATGGGCAAAGAACTTGAATTGACATTTTTCCAAAGAAGATACACAGATGGCCAGTGAGCACATGAAAAGATGCTCAGCATCACTAATAATTAGAGAAATACAAATCAAAACTACTGAGAGACCACTTTTATTATGCATTAGGACAGCTATTTAAAAAAAAAAAGTATTGAGGATTTGAAGAAACTGAAGCCCTGTGCATTACTGGCGGGAAGGTAAAATGGTGTAGCTGCTATAGAAAACAGGATGGTGCTCCCTCAAAAAATGACATACTGTTATGTAAGTGGATGAGATGAATGTACTAATTACCCCGATGGAACCATTACATGTTGTATTCATACACTAAAAAATCGCATTGTAACAGATGTCAATAAAAAATTCTTATTAAAAAATACCATTGATCCAGCAATTCTATTTCTACATATATCCCCCCCCCCAAAAAAAAGCAGGAACTTGAACAAATATTTGTACACCCATGTTCACAGCAGTGATATTCACAATAGCCAAGACAGCAATTCCATTTCTACATATATCCCCCCCCCAAAAAAGCAGGAACTTGAACAAATATTTGTACACCCATGTTCACAGCAGTGATATTCACAATAGCCAAGAGGTGGAAGCAATTTAAGTGTCCATTCACTGTGGTTAACTGAAACCACGGAAAGTGAAACTTCAGAGAAGGGTGCTACTGTGTTATCCAATCATGCTTCATACATGTTAGAGTATATCTGATTTAGGACTGGACTGCAGGTCAGTTTCTAAGGCAGTTCTAGTATTTTGTTGTCATCTCAAAAGAAACGTGTCCCTTACGTTGTGGCAATTTTACCCCCTGTGCCTAGCACTCCAGCCAGTTTCATGACACAGCGGTTTCGGAATTCATAACTTCTGCTTACTCGTTTTCGGTTTATTCGAGTTTTATAGTCCCCTTGTCATTGTGTCTCCCTTCTCTGCCTTTAACTTCTGTTTTGCAACCACCTGAGTAAACCTTCTTTGTGCCTCCACGGTAGATCCCTTCACAGAAGAGGACCTGATTATTGTGTTTAATGTTCTTGCCATGCTATCTTACATTGTTATCTTACTGACCAGCCTCCATTGTGACCGCTGTGAACTAATTATCTGGGACAAAATTTTGATCAGAAAGGGACAGGGGTTCAACACAAGCAGTAGATAGGGTAAGGGTTCTGAGATTTGCTTTTACTTTCTAAGTAGTATCAAAGGTAGTAGAATAGGGGATAACAGGAGAAATATTTAAGAAGAGAAATACCATGTAGAGTGCTATTAGATCTTAAGAGATGAAGAGCAGGTGGAAAGGGAGAAGTCTAGGAGAGCTATAGGTTTCTGGCTTGGGCAACTGAGTACTTGGTGATAACTAGGATGAGAGACTGTAGGAAGGGAGGAAAGAATCATTGTACTACAGATAGGAAGTCGAAGTACCAGGAAACATTCAGAGGAAGATAGTAGTAAGCACTTAGCTATATGGAACTAGAGCTAAATAAGTAGGATATGTTGGTTGCAGGTGATGGAAACATATTTTCAACTAGCTTAAACATAAGGGAAGTCGACTGGCACATGTAACCAACCCAGGAAGGATGGGGTGGAGGTAGACTGTGAACGAAAACGAGGAGCTCATATTCCAGCCAGTTCATAAACAGAGGGAGCTGGTTCTTCCAGATTCGGTAGAAAAGCCCTTAGGGAAAGGACTCTGGTTTATATTGGCGCATACCCATTCCTTAGACCAGAATGGATATGCGCATGAAGGAAAGGAGGTACTGTACAAAGGGGCTTCCAAAAATCAATGGAAAATGTATATTATGAAAAAATTGCATAAATTTCTAAAAGAAAAATTGCACCAAAATAAACCCACACTTTAACTCCATTTTTCAACAAACTTTTGAGGTCCCTAGTATTTGGCCTGTCTTCGGTCTCATGCCTACCACTGCGGGGTAGATGAGATCTGTTCCCAGAAGAGGATTACAGGAAGGGTCTGGACCAACATCATGTTTTCATTATTTTCCTTGCTGTCCCTATGTGTAACACATAATCAACCTGAGTTCTCTGCAATAGCTCACAATGACTAGGCCAACTCTGCAACATTCATCTTTTCTGTCTGTTTCTTTGAGACTTTGAGTTTTTTTTTTTAAAGTTGTTTGGGAATATTTTTACCTCTCCAGATTGTCACTTCAAGAAAAAGTCAGGTAAGTACTAGTAGCAGAAAAGCTAGAGTCCTGGAGAAAATGAGAAGATGCGAGTGCAGATGTTCTTAATGATGCCAACACTGTTACCAATGTCCCCTTCATTGCAAATCTCACTTTATCATAGCAACAGATCAGGTTGAGACTAGAAGCAATTTCTAGGCAATGTTAAAGAAGGAAAATTCACCTCAGTCTCACCATTTTATTTTGGAATGTCCTTGTAAGAATACTTTGTTTTGGGGCCAGCAGGTGGCATGGTAGTTAAGGCACTGAACACCCACATGGCCCACCATGGTTCTAGTCCTGGACCTGGAGGCTTGTTTTCTCTCTGTCTCTCTCCCTCCCTCCCTCCCTCTCTGGTGAGCACACATGCCCTATAGCAAATTATAATAATAATAATAAAATTCTTTTTAAACAAAATTTAATGTTTTGTTTTGTTTTGTTTTGTTGAGAGGTTTTTGCTATAGGGTGTGTGCGCTCGCCATAAAGAGAGAGAGACAGACAGAAAGCAAGGAATCACCACACCAGGGGGGATGGCCATGCCACAATCCCTTCTCCTCCATTCCTCTTGGGATCTTGGGCACACACACACGCACGCCTGTTGTGAGTTTAAGCCACCGGGTCTGAGACTCGAGCCATGGTCAACTACATGGGATTCCAGTGACATAGCCATTATGCCAACTGCTGGTGCCTTTTCTTTTAAGAATTACTCAATTTTGGGGGAGGGGGGCCAGTAGATGGCATGGTAGTTAGGGCACTGGACTCCCACATGGTCAACCACAGTTTGAGTCCCGGACCTGGCAGCTTGTTTCTCACTTTCTTGGCCTCATTCTGTCCTTCTCTAGCCAAACTTAATGAATAAATGAAATTAAACTTAAAAAGAAAAGAATAATTTTATTATTTTTCAATTTGACCACAGAGAGAAAGGGAAAGTGAGAAAGTAAGCCACCAGGTCCAGGACTCACAGTCGGCCATGCTCAACCACCACGCAACCTGCCAACCCCAAATAAATAATTCTTCCAAAAGGAATACTTTGTTTTGGTGGGGGGAAAAGTTCAATATTTGAATTACTGGTTGTGAAAGCCCAAGTACCAGCTTCATTAGTGCTAGGGTTTTTGAGATAATTTGGAACTAATGTGGGGAGTGAGGGAGGGGCCTATGTAAGTGTTTTACTTTTGTATGCAGAAAATACCTCTAGAAAGACACAAAAATTTTAAAACCATGAACATTGGTTATCTCACAGGAAGAGAACTTATTTAGAGATACAGATTAGAAAGTCATTGACACTGAACTTGTCATTGAAGCAATGGGCGTACGTGTGTAAACCGTCTTGGAATGAGCATACAGAAACAAAGTCGGTGAGAAGGATTAGAAAGATTGAATCAAGGCTGAGATGGCTACTGAACTTGAGCTGTGAAATATTGCTTTCAGAGACTACAAATTAAGATGTTCTGCTGAGACTTCTCCCTCCAGATTCATTTCTAGTGTGTAGGCTACCTCTGTATCCTTCTCTCCATCTTTCTGACTCTCTGTCTCTCTGTCTCTCTGTGTCTTCTAATTTTATCTTTTTAATTTGTTTTTAAGGTAAAGTATTCTCTAGGCTCTCAAGCCCCTCCTATATTGTGCTAATTTGTGCCTGTCCCCCTCCCATTTAGGAAAGGCA